TTTCCTCCCTCCCTCCATCTCTCATCTCTCTCTCTCTCCCTCCCTCCATCTATCAGCTCTCTCTTTCTCTCTCTCTCTCTCCCTCCCTCCCTCCCTCTCAGCTAGTAGTGCAGTATAGCCTAAGATAAGGAGAGATCACACCTTAATCAAAGCAATTTGATTAACTATTATTAGAATGGCACATTATGTCAAACGTAAATAGGATGAATTTTATTGTATTTATTTTAATGTTATGATTTTATTTATTGCCAATTTAATAATAATAAAGGTGCACGGATACCTGCTGCCGAATTTTTGCAAAGTGCAAGCGTGTTCCCCCACCACAAAAGACATACGCACACACAAACACACAAACACACACAACCGATGAGGGAAGGAGGAAGGGAGAAGGAAAGAAGGAGATGGGGAGGGAGGGAGGGAGAAGGAAGGAAAGGTGGAAGGAAGGAAAAGAGGGAGGAAAGAAGAAAGGAAGGAGGAATGAAGCAACGAGGAAAGGAATTGAGGAAGGAGAGACCCCTTTCAACCCCACGGAGAAACCAGCTTCTTGGGAGACAGAATCAGCTCAGGGAAACTCTGCCATGAAACACTCCTGGGGGGGGAGTTCCGGAGGAGGAAGCGGAAAGCTGAAGCGGGCCGTGCCGAGTCAAAGACGATCCGTGGAGTTGCCGTCACGGCGCCTGGAGCCTGGGCCCCAAGCGTTTCGCCGCCGTCCCCATCAGAGCAAAGGACACAGCTAGGAGAAGTCCCGATTTTTGGCCAAGTGCTCCTTGTCAGCCTTCATCATCTCCTCCGTGTAGCACGGGGCGGCGCGGTTCTTCTCCACCAGCGCGTCAATCATGGCCATCAGCTGGCGCACCTGAGCTTCGCGCTCCGCTCCTTTCGCCTTGTTGTTAAAGGCCAGGAAGCGGTTGCCGCAGTGGTACACCTGCTCCTTCAGGACCGCGTTGCCTTCAGTGATGAACTCCTCCAGGGTTTTGTCCTCCAGGTCCTCCTTGCGGGTGAAGAGGATGGTCATGTAATCCTTGGCCTTCAAGCTGAAGATCTTCTTGATCAAGCGCGCCACCTCCTCCTCCTCCTTGGTGAAGCGGCCCGGGCGCATCACCTGCAGGATGACGTGGGGGCCCGGCATGCAAAACTCGATACACTTGCTCACTTCGGCCGAGGTTTCCCGCTCGAGACGAGCCGTGTCGAGGAAGCCCGGCGTGTCCACCACCACCACTTTCCGGCCGTTCACCTCAGCCTCCGCCCGTTGGCAAGTCTGGGTGACGGAGCCGAACGACATCTTGGATTCGAAGACCGGGCTTCCCAGGATGGTATTGCTCACCGCGCTTTTCCCGTTGCCGGTTTTGCCCACCAGGACGATCCGCCGTTCGGGCCCTACAAACCCAAAGCGGGAAGAGGAGAGAGAAGGAGGGGGACCGGTCAGGAGCACTGGAGATGACCGGGGTCAAAGGCGCCATCAGTTCAGAATCCCTGTGTGCTCACGAGCG